CAGATAGCTTGGGGCACTTAGGCTGAGGCTCTTTAAAAAAAGAATTTAGAGACAGTTGCTTAGAACTGGAAGCCATTACAGATGGTATGAATAGTGAATACATGTGCTTCCTTTACACTTCAGTGCACTAATTATGCAAACTACATTATACATGTACATTGTGATAACTAATAAGAGTGTGTGTTCTTAAGAAGTTAAGTTAATGTATTGTACAATACACTAGCTTATATGTGTGCATATTATGTGATGATTCATTTCATAAAACGTTTTATTAAATGAATCATCGCACAATATGCACACATATTTTAATTTTGCCTAAACTAAAGTCTATAGTGTTGATAATAGTAATACATGTATATCACTTAAAGTTGGGGGGGGCTAAGCCCCCCCTTCATGAAAGTTGGGGGGGCTTAAGCCCCTCCTGCCCCCCCTGTTCCTACCCCTATGCATGTAGATGTACATTCAAACTTAAAATAATGTCTATAGCTTTGATTATGTGTCCCTTTTAGGAGTATCCATTTAAATTGGATAGTTTCCAGAGGAAAGCCGTCCAATGTATTGAGAACAACCAGTCAGTCCTAGTCTCAGCTCACACCTCAGCAGGGAAGACTGTAGTAGCAGAGTATGCCATCGCTGTATCACTGAGGGATCGTCAACGTGTCATTTATACAACACCGTTGAAGGCTTTGAGTAATCAGAAGTATAGAGAGATGTATGAGGAGTTTAAAGACGTCGGACTAATGACCGGAGACACTACCATTAATCCAACAGCATCGTGTATTGTCATGACTACTGAAGTAAGTATATTGTGAGTTATTATTAGTAAATGTTGTTATTATGATAATTCTTTGTGTTTAATTTCATTAGATATTAAGGAGTATGTTATACAGAGGATCAGAGGTGCAGTAAATAATGTAGTTATGCATGTTCATGTACTATTGTAGTATTGTACTGTAATCTAGTGTGAGTATAGTGTCTCTAGAGATGTTCACTATTAATTGTATTGTTATAGCTACCAGCCTACCATTAATAATCATATTCAGCACAGATATGCTTATTATATGTCATGTTCTGTTTGTTTTTGTGCATGTAAATAATATACATGTTCATGCATGTACAATTGTACACGTTTTTGGTTCTTGGTAATTTGTTTATATTTACTTGTGTAGGTGATGCGTGAAGTGGGTTGGGTTGTATTTGATGAGATTCACTACATGAGGGACAAAGGTTAGACTCATGCACATTGAGTTCTACATGAGCACATGCATGTACATGTACATCTTTGTACATGTAAATAGCTATATAAACATGTACATTGTACATGTATTGTATACTGTATAGCGCAAAATTTTAGAGGGCTATAAATTTCACGAATTTGCCTAAAAATCAGTTTTGTGGATTTAATTTTCACGAATTTACATTGTCTGCAATTAATTTGATTTTTGCGAAAGTAGTTTTTGCGAATTAAAAAAAATCGCGAAATTTGTAGCCCTCAGAAATTTTGCGCCATACACAGTACCAAGAGTACATAATCTACAGAGAGTGTCTAACCATACTATAATAGCTGAAACATCACC